CTCTGAAAATTTTCTCGCTGATGTTTCCGTCACACGCGGCGTGTCGAGCAGTGAAACTGCTGAACGCCTAGCGTCGGCCATAGGCCCCGCAGCGCACTGCCAAGCAGGCTTCTGCTGCACCAACTACATGACTTTCCCCAAAAGTCATGGCAGCTGAGAAGATGCACAAGCATCTACTCAGAAAGACCCTTATCAGGGAGGAGAGCCCTCAACCCGACGCTACACGTATCAGGGAGGAGAGCCCTCAACCCGACATCGTGGCTACAAGGTTAACAAAGAGTGAAAAAGGAACCGCCCCGGTCACAATCAGGAGAGGATAAACCTCATCTAGACGCAACCTCACATGCAGGCGAGGTAAAACCTCAGCCCCACCTAGCCATCCATGCACAGGGCGCATATGAAAAGGTATGAGTTGGATTGCACCCGTTCAAGCATCTGGGAGTCCGCACGTTTCGCCACAGCCCCATCATCAGTGACATAGAATTGCCCCTGATGCAGCAGGCATGTGCGGTAATGCCCCGCCGTCGGCGTTACACCTTCATGAAAAGCAATGGCTGTGATGCGATAGGGCACGTGCCGAATCTGCACTGTGTCCACCCCTCTCCAGACAGGGACCTGGATTGCAGACTCAGAGAATCCTACGGGAGTGGTGCATTTGTGCGTTATGCCAGTATCGACATCGAACTCATACCGTCGCAGCTGGAAGCACACAAGGGGTGCGACAGAGGCAAGTGCACACATCTGATCTGGATGCTCCGCTTCTTGAAAGAACTGAGCAGCGCAAGCCTGAAAGGTGAGCGCTTGGCCATTGTCGGGAGGAGCGGGAGTAGGCAGGGGGATGGGTGTGCAGAGTGAGCCTTCATCCAATATGCGAAGCTCCAGCCCCCTGATAGCACGCACCTGCCAACATTCAAGACCGAAGGGCATTCGACATTGCATGATGAGATGTGAGAGGAACTCAGCAACATCATGCTGCCTATTTGGGTCATTCCAGAGCCGCATGATCGCCTGGATGCGAGGTAAAGCACGAAGCAAAATAGGCTGAGTATTGTGAGCCAGGTCTCGAACACTAGTCCCAAGAGTGCCCAGCAGCTCCGGAGGCATGCCCACCTGGAGCGAGGCATGCATCATCAGCAGAAACGCAGAGTTGACGTAGCAGGCATTCGTTCCATGCGGGTTGAGGAGCCTGCACCGGAGCGCCAAGTCAGGTGGCGTACCTCGTCCGCCTCCCTGCCATGCCTCTGCCTCTCCTTGTGCATGTTGGCCCCAATCAGGTTCAGCACAGCCAGGCCAGACAGCTTGATGAAGGCCTCGTGCAGGATCTGGCACTGAGGGCCACGTAAACCGATGGATACCCGGAATGGCACCGAAGCGCCTGTCATGGCCGGTGTCAACCTTCTCTTGGCCGCAAACTGATTGAGCGACTCCGGATCCATCTTGAGCGCTGCACTCAAGTTTTCCAACATGTCTTTGACCTCCTGATGCGGGACTCCCGATCGACTCTGGTCCAAAACAAGCTGCTGTTGCTCCGGATCCCACTTCTGGTACAACCATAGCAGTGGCATGCCGCTGATCCAGTTGACCTTCTCTGCCGCCCGCTGACTTTCCTGATTTTGCTCGAATTTTTCCATGCGAGCTGCTGTCTCCTTGAGCATCAGGCGGAAGAGCTCCGTCTTCAAACTGCATTCCACTTTCATCTGGTCTCGAAGTTCGTTCCACTTCATGGAGGCCTGAATGAGCGGTTTGAGTATTCCGTGAGGTGCTGCACTGACATGAAGAAGGAAGCATTTCTCTTGTCTGATCTCGCTCAGCTCTGTCTCCTGCCTGAGACAAAGCTTGGCCAGGGCATACACAGCCGCCTCCACATCCAAGCTTCCCGATGAACGATACCTTGTGTCCTGGTATCCTCCCCAGCTGTAGTCCTGTTGCCGCGAGCTCTTGCCCTTGTTCTTGCCCTTGCCTTTGCCCCCTTGCCTTCCCTTGGACTGGGGCACCTGATCTGGGTCCTGCCTGTACCGCTTGTTGGGATTGTTTACCTCGAAGCCGCTTTCTGACAGAACCTCGCTCAAGGCCGGGAACAATGGGCCGAGCACTTGTTCCATGATCCTCCTGGGCTGTATGCTGCCTAGATTCAGCTTTCAGGTGTTGAAGAAGACAGAACTGAAAGATAACGGGGCAGAAGGGCGCATGATCTTTGGCGATACGCGAGGTTTTAAGGCAGTAAGGGCAGGTTTTATCGGCAGTGGTGAGCAAGGCCCTACATTTACGACTAAGGGAAGTGGTATCAGCCCATGCATCAGGGTGCGCCTTGTGCAGATGCGTCTTCAGTGACCGAAGATTGGGCTGTGTCTGAGCACAAATGCAGCAATGTTTCAGCAAGAAGTCGCTTTCCGCATCAGTAGGCTGTTGCATAGACGGCACGGCAATAGCAATGGACAGCTGGCTGCCATTTTTCATGGTAATGCTGTGTTGCTGCGAATGAGAGGTCGGTGCCTGTTGAGCTCCGAGCTCTTTGAGGAAAACGAGCTGAAAAAGGACCTGGCAGTTTTGAGCATGCGCACGGGCGGCTCGGCGATCTGCAAACTTAGGGGCCAGACAGAAAGGGCACCCCTCACGACTTGTGACATGATGTGCGAACGAGAGACACGCATGTTCAGCAGCGGTGCCAGCCTTCTGCCACTCCTTGGCATGTGATCCTCGAAGATGGATTTTGGTACCGCCTCGCTGTGGTGTCCATTGTCCACACAGGCAACAATGACTACTGAGCTCAGCCTGTACCCTTGGGTGCTTCTGGAGGACCTCAAGCGGAGGGTGTGCTTTAATTGTCAGCATGATGGCATTATCACGATTAACGGGCTGAGGATCCATCCGTCTCTGGGAGCTGTCAGCAATCCCTGTGTGATGCACAGGAGCAGCACCTGAATCGAAAGGTATGGAACCATGGTCTGGCTGCTGGGGCGAGAGACAGGTGCTGGGCTGATCATTGATAAGCTCCGTTTGGCCAGCCTGCTCAGCACCAGTCACACAGCTGTCGTGGCATAGAGGAGGGCACCTTGTTGGAGAAGCATCCAAAGGAGAGGTAGGCGCAGCCTGTGCTGTGAGTGCCACATGAGCGCTACTCTGGCAGACCTGATCAAAGATGTGCCTTTGCAGCTGTTGCCATGAGCTGAAATCCTTGCCGCACCATCTACACGTGGGGAGGCCATTGGCTCCATGCGTGAATCTGTCCACCTCTTTCCAATCAAGATATGAAGAAGCTTTGAGTCCTGCTTGGTGAACTTTATTTCGATGCTTGGTGAGCGCCGTTTTGCTGCCCGCCACGTGATCGCATTCTGGGCATTGAAAGGTACTGACCGCATGGGTGACATGTCCCGCCTGCCGATCGCTGGCTATGGTATGTATCTGAGCAAGAATCCTGGCCTCACATGCCAAGATGTCTTCAGCAAGTCTTGCATCCTTGGCATCCAAGACAGTGCGGAGGCGCACCGTTTTTGCCTGTTGCTTCTGAGCACTGCGAAGCAGGCAATCAATTGGATCCTTGAGATCGTATTGATCGCACAGCTGCTGGTTGCTGATACCTGTGAGGTGCACTGGTTTACTGGTAATGTGCCGCAGCTGTCGAAAGAAGGAAACAGCCACACGCTGCGCTGATCCTGGAGTGAGGCCCACCTGCGGTAAGGCATACAGCAAGCTGGAGGTAACGCAGGCCTGCCAGATGCGCAGCCGAGTTCTCAGAGCAAGGGTCTTTTGAGTGAGCACTGGCTTTAGCCTGTCGAAAGAGGCTTGTGCAGCTTTGATCCGTCTGGTTGCAGTGAGATCCTCCATGCGAGTGTAGCTAAGAATGGCTCCTAAGTAATCATGTTGAGCGACAACCGGAAGCCTCCATTGGTGATCTTCATGCTGAAAGAGCACTTGTTGCTTCTGATTGTGCACCTGTATGATCTTTGCCTTCACTTTCTTGGCCGTGGTTCCTCCAAGGTGGAGCAGCACAGCACTTTTGGAGGCAGCAATGCTCATACCCAGCTTCTGCAGGACCCAGAGAGCCTTGGAGATCGCTTTGATGTGCTTCAGCAATTCTTCTTCGGAGTGTATTATTGCCTGGAAGAGGGCATCATCCGCGAACCAGTTGCTGTGCTGTTGGCACCATTCGAGTCCTATCTCATGCATAACAAGGATGGTAAATAGGGACCAAACCCTGGGAGCAATCTTGCAGCCCTGTCGTATGCCCCTGCCACAGCTGATTTGCGCTTGGCATTTCTCATGCTCAAAGTGGTAAACAACGCCTGCATGCCAATGCTCAATGAGACGGCACACATCCCCAGGAAGACAACTGAGTTCCAAGGCCTGATGCATGTACTGCGGCTCCAGCGAATCAAAAGCCTTGCTCATGTCAAGGGAGACAGTAATGGCTCCAACTAAGCTGCACCTGGTGGCCCCAGCATGGCGCTGTTGCAGTGTGACGCGTTGTTGGGCGACCAGTTCGCGAGCTGTATGCAGGTGCTGAAAAGCTCTCATGAGGGCTTGAGATACACCACGATTGGCCATGTAGGCGAACTGAGGGTAGGGCGCAACTGACCCATAAAGAGCATCACGGTGCTGCACAGAAATGGCTCCTAGGAGCGCTTTCCCAACTGGGTCTGTCAGTCCAATCGGACGATACTCCTCAGCCTTGCGCCCCGATTTGTTGGGCTTCAATATGAAGCAGAGCCAGGCATGCCTCCATTCGGGTGGAATCCAGAAGCGATCCTGCTGCCAATCGCTAAGAATGGTTCGTTGAGCCAAGGCAGCCACCGAAGAGGCCGCAAGTTTCCAAGCAATGCCTGGCACATAGTGATCTGGCAGTGATTTGTGCTGCGGCAGTGAGGCAAGAGCATCTTCAAGCAGCTGGGGCGGTAAGTCATATCTCAGCAGCGGATCTGGTGATCTGGGTTGTTGGCCGATATAAACTTCTTGCCAGAACTGTTGTAGTGTCTGGGTTTCCTGCTGTGTTGTCATGATGTGACCCTGAGCATCCCGAAGTTGCGGTCTGCGACGTATGACCTTGGGCGCTATTGTATTGACTTGAAGGTAAACCTCTCTGATGTCTCCATGATGGGCAGCCTGAATGGCTCGCTGAATGCAGTGCTCGACAAAGGCCTGTCTCTTGAGCTTGCTGACGGTACGAACCTGTCGTTGGAGCTGAGTGAACTTAACCTTTAGATCGCAACGCTTGGCCTCAGCCTCCGCAGTGTCCATTTGCTGCAGGGCTTTAAGTTCCCGATGACATCGCCAGAGGCTTTTGACTGGCGTGGTCGCATCGGGTGTGTCGTGATCAAGTCGCAGATCAGCAGAGACAAGTCGACTATGCAGCTCTTCCTCAAGGATCCCATTGATTTCCTGTGTATCCCATCCCCTCAGGCTCTGCAGCCGTTGCTGAGTGGCCTGTTGAAAGCCTTCGGGGTCATCAAGATGAAGCTGTCCTTTCTTAAGTTTGGCGTTAATGCTCTTAGTCTCCTTGTGGCTGGATGACATGTTGGACGCATAATAGCATTCCGCCGGGATGCTAGCCTGAACCGGCCAGTGTTTGGGACCCCCTCTCCAAGCACCCAGGTCCGCATCAACCAAGGTGCGCGTGCATTTAGCCTGGGAGTCAGTGCGCCTTCCTCTGATGATGACAAAATCAATTTGACTCTTCCGAAAAGCTCCCCCCTTGGTTTGGTGCTGAAAGGTAAAGGCACCGGGTGCAGGCTGAAAGGTATTGAGGGCTCTGAGATCAAATTGTTTAAGCATGCGTTGTAGGACATGCGCATCAGGAGCATCAGCAGCATTACCCTTGCCTATGATTGCTGAACCCGTGTAGGGTGCACAGGCCTGCAAGCCAGTGTTAAAGTCCCCTGCAATGACAAGCGAGTGTCGAGTGGGACACATGGAGATGGCCTTCTGGAGGGCATCCCAAACTTTTCCTCTGAGGGTCGAGCCGTCTTTGCTGCCATCGTGAACTTTCTGATAGATGTTAATAAGATAATGGCAGCAGCTTTTCTGTTGGGCTTTGACAATGAGGAGCCTGCCGGGTACCAGAATCTCACTGCGTATGCAAGGCTGAGGGAAACTGGCCTTAGAGAGAAGGATCATAACCCCTGAGTGCCTGGTACTGCAGCCAGAGGAAATGATGTGCCATTTATCATTTGCATAATCTCTGTCCTCTGACCAGTGGGTTTCCTGCAGAAAGACAATGTCGGGACAGCACTGCGCCAGCCAGACGAGCAGTTCGGTATAAAGGGCTGAGGTAAGCCCTGCACAATTGTACGTGAGGACGCTAAGGCGTCGATTGTTGCGATGCCGATTGCCAAGGTGTTGTACCTTGGGCTTAGCAGAGGCGGGTGCCGCATTCGAAGCGGGCTGCGATGCATGCACCTCCGTGCGAAGCGGTCTGCCTCGATAGAGGGCCACACTTGTACCTCTTGCATGTTTGATGGCATTTCTAAGGGCGGTTTTACGAATTGTCTGTTCTTGATGCAACAGTATTTGGCCTTCACCGCTATTTTTCGCCCCCACCATGATGCTCGCTAAGAGATTGTGTAGGGGAGCTTGCTCTCCTGCCGCGGTAACAGGAGAAACCCTCGGCTTGACCGGGATACAGTGACTTGGTGCGGGACGAAAAAGTATCAGGAGACCACGCAGCCAGAGACTGATATAACCCCGGCGCCAGGATTTGGGACCTGGCTCGGCTTTGTTTTGTGTGTGTTTATCCTGGGGAATGTTGTAGCATTTGACAGGGAGGTGCAAAGCTGAAACCGGACAGCCAGCCTTCCCATTGGGAATCCACGGCAGCATAGGCTTAGGCCTGGGCACTGCAAGATGAAGGAGGGAAGCCCCAGCAAAACCCAGCAGAAGCACCACAACACTGTGGACATGAGCACTTGCATTCTCCACATGATTTTTCGGCGCATTCCTGGCATGATCAAGGGCCTCTTGCAGGCATCGGCGCAGGTAGTCCATTCTGCTCTCCTCCGGTCGTTGATCCTCCGGGAGAGGCGGGTACTTGGATCTGCGTGTACGCTGAGGTCGCTGTGGCCGATACTCATTGGCCCCCGTAGCAGGGATCAGCTCTGGTGAGGAGGAGCTTTCGACTGCAACGGCTGATGCCTCCATCTGAGAGAGAACAGCTGGGGGTGGTGTGCTGGAACTGGAAGCTGCAGCACCAAGGCCCTGAGAGGACTGTGGCGGTGACGTCTCCTGCTCAGGCGTGTCCAGCTCCGCTTCATCCGCCCAGTCAGAGGTCCTGGATCGCCTCACCTTTGGCGGCGATGGCATTGCCGCCTCCGGGTCCTCATCAAGTGGCCTCTCTTCGTTGCGTCGTGCCCTCACCGTCAGTGGTAGGCCTTGCGGTTCCTCCATGCGCGCAGACGCAGTGGCAGCTGTACCTGCTGAAGACTCCTGCTCAGGCTGTGTCGTGGGATCCGGGTCATTCTGCTGCGCTTGCTCCAGTTGACGAAGCTGATTACGCTTCGCCTTCCCCAGTCTCGTCCCCTGTCTAATGCGCGTTGCAGTGCTTTTGCCCATTGCAGGATCACACGGCACCTGCTTAAAGAGGGTGAGTGGAACACCGGTGTTCTTGGAGAAAGGGCTCTTGGAGAGGAATCCTGGAGTTTCCGTGCAGGTGTGTTTTGTGGCGCTATTCCTAGCAAGAAGACACCAATTAGGAAGGAAGGGGATCCTCAATCCTCGAAGCCGTCTGCGCAGAAACATGACATGCTCAGACAACAGGGAGTCATGGGAACAGAGCTGCTGTGCACTGTCTCTGTCTCTGGCTCTGACTACGTGAGCTGAGAGGCGTGCAATGGCTCGAAGCAACAGTTCCCGATCCTGGCAACGCAAAACCCACAGGTTGGAGTTGGGACTCTGGACATCCAGTGTCAGCTTTGTCCGTATGCAGTCCTGGCGAGGCGGAGCCCTCAAGCCTGTGGTGCAGTGCTGCACCAGGTGAATCATGACGACCTTCACAGCCCAGCTCATGATGGTGTGAGGAGTGGGAGGCGTGGTCCAGAGAATGCTGAAGTAGCCTGGGCTGGGGCTCCCGCCTGTAGAGCATCTGTGCCTACAGTCAAGCAAGAGTGCTGCAAGCTGGTCTCCACAATTGGCACTCAGCTCAAAGCGCAGAGAAGGTGCATCTTTTTGAACGCATTGCAGCAGTCGACCTGATTCAGCCCTCGATTGTCTCCTGGGCTTGAAGGAGCCGACAGATCGGCTGACATCTGGATCGCAATCCAAAGCATCCTTGACACCGCCAACCCGCCCTGACCAGCATCTTTGCCACAGCTTTCGTAGGGAGTGCACTTCGGCCTGCGGTCTCAGACCTGTTGCGCAGCGGCAGTGTGGGAAGTGTCGACACCAGGGTCTCCAGAGTGTATTCAGTGTCAGACTCAGCCTGCTGATCAGTGCCCTGAGCTCTGGCCGAGGAGCTCGAAGTACCCTGGCCCGTGCCAGTCTCTGAGAGAAGGATCTGCTGCATCGTCTCTGGTGTGCTGAGAGCCACCAGCTCCTCATCCTGAAAGGCATTCCCATCCGAGGAAGTTCGGGAGAGAGGGGGAAATGAACCCATGGAGGTGCCAAAGGACTCAATGTCGCTGCCATAGAAGATGTCGCTGCCAAAGAAGTCCACATCTGAACTTTCCTCTTCCACCCTCCTGTCATCATCCCCTGCTGTAGGTGACCAAACTGCTGCAGGCCTGCGTTTTCTGGAGCCACGCGCAGCTGCTTTCGGCTTCGCCTTGGCCTTAGCCTTTGTTTTGGCACGCGAAGATGCCAATCCTGAGTCTCGAGATTTGGCCATGGCCAACAGCTGAGATCCAATCTACCAACGGTGGGATGGGACATGAGGTGGGCCTTGCTGGGTATGCCCTGGTTGGGCTCTATCGCCTTTATGCTGGCAGGGAATCGAGAAGGGAGGGATGAGACCCGCAGGTGTGCAATGCCAGAACCTGCCATGACTGGTGGATGGTCCCTATTCCTTTAGGGTCACATCTGCCAGCACATCCCTGTCCAAACCGGTCATATCCCTGTCTTGTGTGTGGCAAAGCTGACTGATATAGGCACTCCAGGCTGAGATTCTAGCAGTGGCAGAGAGTGATGCTCTCGATGCTTCTCGCTCACGCGTCCTGGCAGCAGAGGGGGTCGACCCAGGTTGTGCATTGAACGCAGCGGAAGCAAACGTCCAGCTCTTGTGGAGCCTATTTCCAAGTCTGCTTGATCGCGAGGGGAGACCCTCCAGCGTCCTGATCAACACAGTGGGCGTTACTTTGGGCCAGTTGGGCACGATGACGCACACGTCTGAGAGGCGTTCCTTCAGGGTACCAATATGCATGAGGTTGGCCTCCGGTGCTGAAGGGGTCCACTGCTGCCACAAGTGAAAGTTGCAAGTACACACCTGGAGCTCATGGGATCTCCCTGAGGACGCAGGCAACCAAAGCTTCATTCCACACTCCTGTATTCTGAACGGGTGTCGAGGTACATTAGTAAACGGGACAATGGTATGCAAGAGACAGCACAAAGGACATGTGCCCGCCTTCCACGATCGGGGAATATTTCGCAGACCATCACCCCTATATGTAAGTTCAGTGCTGAGGTGGGCCCAGCAATCCGGTCGACGCAAGCTCAAGACAACAAGCACCCGCATCCCTTTGCCACGCTTTGTGCCATGCAGAGGCATCACTGACAATGTGCAGGTTTTTTGCATCGCGATAACCCGACCATAGCCGACTACAGCAGAACAACACATAGTGCATCGAGACCTGAGGCAGCTTCTCGTCACCTTAATTAGTCCAGGCAGTTCAGGTCGATGTTCATCTTGGTGTGCAGACCTGCTTGTGTCATCGGAGAATGAACGAAAATGCGATGTGCTAGCCTCGGCCTGTTGGCAGTGTGTCTTGTGAACTACCTGCCAGGAGTAGTAGTTACGCTGATATCGCCAAGTACCAGTGCACACAAGCAGCCTCCGTGGGGGTGAACTACCTCTGCTCCAGACATGTGCATCTTGTTGTGACCTCACGCATGCAAGTAGATATCCCCGCTCCTTACAACATCTACGCAGGGTAGAGCTAATCCCGATCGAGTGCCTCACAATGATAGCCTGTTTGACTCTTCTCGGGTTTCTTGCTAAGACCAGCCTGCCATTCTGCAGAGGGGACAGGAGTTGCAGGAGGCTGCACATGGTCTGGGGCTCGGCACCAGCCATCGCGCATGCCGGCGAGCATCGCCTGGGAGCCAGATGTTGCGCAGTGGCAGTGCTCGCCGTGCGGCCTACCTTGTGTGCAGCTGGGAGGTGCCACAGGCGAGCTCCAGGTGGGATACCACGCACTCCTGTGCTGCTCAGAACGGGCGGCCTGTGTATACATGGCCATGCCTGCTTAGTCCTGATTCTGCCAATGCGCAGCTTGCCAGCCTCCTCGAGGCCTGTGATGGGTGCACCCTTCCCAACGTTAGACAGGTGAGGCCCCCGGCCAGCCGAGGACGCAGTCTGACCTTGATCGTAGACTTTATCAGGAGCCGTAGGTGCAGTAGCATTACGTGTATGCCTCTGAGGTACCACATAGATCCTCGTAGGTGAGTCCCAAATCACATGGCAAAACTGGGCGACCTGACGGCACACAACATGCTTGCCTGTGATGGGAACAAAGAGCCTAAGGCAGACTGGGCCTGAGGGCAGCGGCAGTCCGGGATCCGAGGCACCAGGCCTAGAGGGGAGGGCGCAAGGCCAGGCGTGCGGCTCGCTGGGGCCACTGTTGCTACCTGTAGCCACACTGAGCATTAGCTGTAGCATGCATAAAGGCTGCATGTGTCGCCTGTGTCGCTCCTGGTGATGCCATCTTTCCCTTGAGTGCCACGTGCAGGTGACTGCAGCCACGATTTGGCAGAGTTGCACACCACATCTGAGTTGGCCTGTGCATGGCACACAGGGTGCTCTGGGCACCTCTTGTTCTTGCTGCCTTCGCATGGCAATGGCAGACCTGGGGGCAGGACTTTTTGCAGGGATGACTCGGCTAGGATACCATTGGGCCGGCGACT